CCCCAAAACCCCAAAACCCCAAAACCCCAAAACCCCAAGAAGTAAGATACATGTTGAATGATCATAGATATTTCTATTTGTCCTCGTATAGCTCAGATTCTTTATGGAGGTTTGAATTTTCCTTTTCTTCTTCAAATAATCCCACAACTGATTCCTCTTTATTCTTTGTGGAAGATCTATTGTTGCTAAGTAGACTTTGTCTTTGAGCTTCATCAACCAGTGTCTGATGCTTTAGTGAAATCCCAAGGATTATATTGGCATCTCTCTCAAGTATGTCGTAGTCCAAATTCTTTAGTTTCTCCAATAATACTGCTTGTTTAGTTTTGGCCATTCCAAAGGGCTCTTGTGTAGGCTGCGGAAAGTCATTCGGCTTTGTAAATCAGCCATCTTTGGTATCTTTATGCAAATAGTTACTTCTGCAATCAAAGTCCATCATCAGTGCTTGGTGTTCGCTCAAAGTCAGTTTCATCAATGTTTTGAGATGCCGTATCGAACACACAACAGATGTCAGATCTCACTCATCTGAAAGTTTGTCGCTGAGAATTTTGAACTCAGAGCGAGCTCTGGTCTTGAATCATGGCACCAATGTCTTGAAATAGTCTTCGACTGTAAAATGGAATCTTCGTTTTGAGTTGATTCGGGACTCAATTGTTTGTAAGAGAGTTTGCTCTTTCTCGTTTAATTTTGTGATGATAGTGCCTTTATCCTTCTTTGATGACTTTGGAGCAACTTGAGATTTGTCATTTGTAGTGTGTACATCAGCTCCATTAAGTCAATACAATTGTGAGAATAATGAGTAGTTATACATTTGTGATGCAAAATAATGAACAAGGGCTCCACCGAATATAACGAGTACTTCAAAGAATCCTCCGAGTTGACCAAAAAGATCTAGAATAGAATACACTCTACGCTCATACGAGTCAACAGTGGGGTCTTGTCTGAATTCGAAATTCATCAGGAATGGATCAGTATCATCTCTAGTCTCACCATCTTGTTGATAATCGTCAATTGACAAGAATGATTGTTGTTTTTCTGAACTAAATGGGAAGATGCTATCTGAAAGAGACACAGTACTCCTTTTAACATACAATCTTCCGTATTTTCTCATACCTGAAGACATCCTAAAATAGAACTTATCATCAATAATTTGTTTGATTGGAGTGTCATAATCATCAAAGTCAAAGTACTTCGAGCTCACAATGACAGTGACATCAATATCTCTTGCTTTGGCTTCAATTTCACTATTAGGTTTTCATACTATTGTCGAAGTGCCATTTACTCACTTCTTGACAACAATTCTCACTGCTTTCATTTCGTTCGATAAATTGCTGCCTCCAACTATGAAATTTGGGCTCACCGGACAGTACGTAGATTTTTTGAAGTATTTTCTAAATCCATTTATACTTTTAGATGCTTTTTGAAAATTGTCTCCACATATATCCATTTCTACTTCAGTGGTGTTATAAGTGAAAGTACTTGAATTGAAATCATTAGAATAGTTAAATTGATAGGCAGACAAATTGAAATAAGTTGGGTCTGTAAACCCATTGGCGGTATTATCATCTACCATATAAACTGCAAATTTGAGTTCTTCATCTCCCAAATTATAATAATCGGATACCAAGATCTGGTCTCTCTTAATGACATTCTTTGACATACTTGTAGCTGATCTTGTAAACATCTGTATCGACAACTGAATGCCATATGCTATCAACCCTAAGATTAACATCCCAGTGACAATGCCACCAAAGAAGGTTGTGAACTTCTCTTTTTTCTGGTAAGTCAAGCTCACAGGTTTGGAGAACATGTCAATTGCATTGACTTTGCTATTGGCTCATTTCAAAAACTTGTTCATTAGGTTAAATAATTTATTATTGAGTTCATCCTCGAAGTGGTTATTTGGGGTTTTGGGGTTTTGGGGTTTTGGGG